TTTACAGTTTGACCAATCTATTCTATGTCGGCATTCATCAACGGAATGTGGTTTAATGTCATTGTTAAGCATGATGTCAATAACTACTATGTACGCAAATACATCGTTGACGATCATCTAATTCTGATTCCAAACTTCATCCAATATTGCGTAGTGGACCGAAATCTCGCGATTCATGGGAGGTCGGGTTGTCTCATCTAAGACATCACCGTAATCTAGAAAAACCTTATGCGCTGGAACAGATAAGTGAGCGATGGTCGGATTCAGACTAGGGTCGCTAGTTTGTGCCGTTTTCCTCTTTCGGGGTTGTGAATCCTTTGAACCAAAGGGTCTGCCACGCTTCAGGATTGGAGTAGATGATTGGCTAGCCGCCAATGTACTTGTCCGTGTGGAAGGTGCGGCCTCCCCACCTTCGGGGATGATTCGGCCTTCCCAAGCGAGATTACAACGTACGTGGGGTACGTCTATCTTTGCAGGTGCATTTGCAACAAATATATGTGATCTTGTCACTTTAGTTAGATCAGTAAAAGCATTCAGCATACTTTGAGCAATGCTCTGAAGATCTATAATTTGTCGCACCTCAGTTTCAGACTGGGCAATGGGAGGATCTAAATGAGACATAGTGGGAGCATACCACGACAATTCGTGGTGTTCTCTAAGAACGTTAGCATGCTTATCTCCCCCTAACGACGGGAAGACTGTCTCATCAAAGTGACAATCCGCAATACATAAGATAAAGAGATATCTTGTTAAGGGCTCTAAATAGCGAATAATTGATGGCGAATCATAACCGATTGTAACGGTGAATGCGAGACGTTAGGCTCGTATCCAGTAACCAACTGTAACGGTGAATGAGGTTGGGTAGCAGTGGGCCTCAGGCAGACCAGTATAGCTATGTGCAATATTGCATAGCCTCAGGCAGATATCGGCAGTTTGGTTCGCATAACCAAAGTCTGAGCTATCAATTGAAGACGCTTTATGAAAGCTTCATGGGGTACATGATGTTTGACTTCAATCCCAACTGACATGTAATAATCGTCAAAAGTCTATGACGTAAACTCTCCAGCGTTATTCACTTGAATCGACTTGATTAGATAATCAGGTTGGTGAGCCCTTAGCCTAATAATTTGTGCTAGGAGTTTCGCAAATGCAGTGTTGCATGTGGACAGTAGGCAAACATGTGGGGTCCAAACGACATCAAACTTTAATGATCCAAACCTTTATTTTTCAAGTTGTACCTCATAGATCATTCTTGCAGCATATTAGCCGAATCGGAAATATGTGAGACATCTAATTGCGTTCAAAGAAATTGACGAACATTATGGTTAAGAAACATTAAAATTTTATCGTGACAATTGAATGAGAAACTGGTTTCGGATTGAATTTAACTTTTGCAAGAATGATCTATGAATTGAGATTTACAACATAGACGATTCAATTTTTTTTTCCTAAAAATGGGGATCATTTCCCGTAAAGGGGATGTTTAGGAGATACTTCTATTTAAAGAGTGAAAAGTAAATGAGATCTCAAATTTACATTTGTCCTAATGGAGCATAACTCACATTTACATCTTTTGAAAATGTAGTTTGAGATGCAAATGGACTTTTTCATCTCAAATATGTATCTCTAAAATATGATGTTCTCAAGGCTTGCCTTGTTTAAAACTCGTTGACCTTCGACGTGGCTTGGTTCTTGAACGAATTGAATCACACGGGGTGAAAAAAAAAAAAAAATTAGCGCATGCAAGGTTCTTTAATTTCTAATGTGAGGTTCATTCTCAACAAATTGTTTTATGTACATGGACACTAAATATTAGGTGATGTGGGAGTCCATGGTCCATTTAGCCTAATACGTGGGTTAATCTTGCGTTGATACGACATAAAGATTTTTGAGTGTGCTAGAAACACGACAAAACATCACATATTATATAATTAGAGAAACACTTAATAAAAACTCTGCTAATTATATAGTAATATATGATTTTTTTTCTTTTCAAATGTACTGAAAAATCGTTCGATACTATGATGGTTAACACCAATTTCGAGAAAAGAATACAAACATAATGGTTGCCAGCGACTTAAAAAATTATAAAGAACAGAAAGAAAACAAACAAAGCCCATAACAACTTCGAAAATAGAAGCACAATTCTAAAAGCACGATATACAAATCAGAAAAAGCACGTTAAGTTTCCAAAGTACTTATAGTTACTTAAAAAAAAAGTTGCATAAGATTTAGACTCCCTGAACGAAATGATTGTAGTTAATTTTTTTTTTTTAAATAAATGATATTATTTATAATTAAAAATACGAGAATTACCTAAAGTTTATAATAAATTAACAATAATATGATTCAAATTCATTTTTAGTTAAAATCAGACTTATAACATGTTACTACAAGTGAAAATAAATATTATTAAATCGTAGTACTAATGTTAAACTTTGGATGTTATTATTACTTGCTACAAAATGTTAAGCAATATGTACCAGCTGCTTGCCACAATATGTAAGGTGAGTCAGTCACATTTTAATAGACAACTATTTATACCTTTTATTAATAATTTTTAAACTTCAAAAATAATAAATAGAGATAGGCACCTGTACCCTCCCCACATCCATACAAAATGAAACAATGCGTTAGGTAGTCGGTAGTACGTACGAGTAACAGAAATAGATATGGAGAAAGATCTGTCTCCTTCTCTATATCTATTTTTATTCTTTATAAATAAAGATGGTGCTATCCACACATTAATTTTTACCCCTTATACACTCCTTTCAATTTTCGGCCGTCAGATCGAAAAAACCGAAGAAGATCAATGGACAAAAATTAACAAGGATGTGTTAGAAGTAAAAAGGAATGTGTGAATAGCACTTCTCTAAATAAATTATCTTTTAACAGACAATCACAATCTTAAAATTTGTTGGATGATTATTCTATGTTCTGAAAGTTTTTAAGAATTCTACCAATAGTTACATAATGATTAAGATTTAACGTTACACACTCAACAACTCTTCTATTTTGAAACATTATAAATTTTCATTGCAACTCAACACTCGTACTATTACGAATATAAGCAAATTGGAATTGACAAATGTATACTAGCACATATCGTACTAAGAGAAATGTTAAGAAGACTCTCTCAAAATTGACTCTTCATAAACTCTTTGCTATTTTACAAGTTAACGTTAATTTTTGTGCCATCATCACAAACATTGTGCCAAAAATTTGAGGTGGCAGAGAGTCCATAAGAGCCCCTAATATTTCCGATCGTACTAAATAACAGATTATATCTTGTGCCAACATGAATTTTCATTTCAATATCATAAAATATTGTGCTAAAAACATGTAATGACAGATTATTCTCACACAATTCAACGTTAAGTACCATGATAATATTATAAAACATTTTGTACAAACTATGATAGACGCTCTTTTTTTCTTAGACTGGGTTAAAATCCTCGGTTAGGTTTTTATCAAGATCTACTATTGTGCACCCTATCATCTGATGTGTAAGTGTTTTGATTTTATAAATCAATGAATATCAAACTTTAAAAAAAAATAAAAAAATAAAATTATGAGATGGCAGAGAGAATGCATAATATTTTTGAATGAGTCTTCTTACTATTTATCTTCTCCTTAATCCATCAATTTGTATATGTTAATTTTACTCCAATGACGAAAGTCAATTATGCATGAACATTTTGAGGGTGAATTCGAATAGGACGGACTCCCTTGTTACTATCAATTAACTGTTTAACATGAAACGCCAATGCTTTTACTAAAAAAAATTGATCAGTGAATGAATTACAAAAACAATAAAGTAGTCGTCCTTGCCTCCGCAATCTATATTTGATGAAATCTATCGTCATGATTCGATACAGCAGCTGTTAACTTAAACTTAAAAAAATTAGTGAGAACAAACTGGAAGTCAATTAAGGTAATTAAGTACATGTTTAACGGGGAGAGGAAGGTGAAGAGAAAGAGCCTGAGCCTGCTCCCCCTAGGACTCTGTCCTCCAGTACATATTTATATTTTGAAAGAGTATGTCGGTGGCTGAGGGGAGGGGAGGGGAAGATCAGAAGATGAGATTGGCCGTTAAGAAGGAAGGAGAGGGAGAAGAGATCATGATGTGATGAATCGGACGGTGGAGGTGGGTGGTGGCAGGTTTACAGGCTGGACTTGATGGGATAGTTTGTAATGATTGCCCCCGGATTCGGCCTTCCTTGTCGCCTTCTGCCACCTCACCCCTCAGCATTGCCCTTTTTTAAATTAAATTTTTTATTATTTAAACGTTTGAAAAAGAAACGTAAAAAATCCCACACGAAAATGCTCTACAGCCTGGCAGACTTCCTCAGTCAAACCCGTCTCGCACCCAAATCAGACCTACCATCCATCCTTATCCCCTCCGCATATGTTCCTTTATTCAATTTTTAATAAATTTAATTTTCCGTGATCATCAATCTCAACCATTGTTCTTTAACGGTACGTTACAATAACTAATATGACATATGAATGATTGATAACGGAAATAGAAGTTCTAGTTATTATGCGCCGTTAGCATTATAATTGAAACTTGATGCTCTTAACAAAATGAGATATTAGATTTTGTTTTCCTAACCATCAAGTGAAAATAATTCTAGAAGAATATAAACGACGCGCAGCTAACTTAATGCCTAAATCCGCTGATTGTTATCTACAACTTCCAAAAATATTAAATAAATAAATAAATAATTGAAAAATAAGGGGAAACGAACGCCCAAGACTCCAACTGTGACAGAGTAAAGCGGACGCTCCTGCTGCAGCAATGGGCATTAAAAAGAGCAAACAAAAAAGAAAAGAAAAAAAAAGGCCAAGAGCGATACGTTATGTAATTCAGTGCACTTTCTACATGACGCGTGTCCTTCACCAGCTGTATCCCAAAACTCCCCATTTCTTAACCGATTGCTTCCAACGAGCGGTGCCGCTTTACCACGTCAATACCAACTATTTAACCATCCAACCTCCACCGGCCCAACCGGTCACCCTTCACCCCTCCCTCCCTCCCTCGTATAAAAAACCCCTCCCTCCTCCTCCCCACTTTGTTTTTCGCCTCTCCCAAATCAAAATACCAGGAACTCTCAACTTTCAAATTTCGAAGGATTACAGAGAAATTAAAATTTACGAAAAAAAAAAAAAAAAAGAAGATTAGGGGGGAGAGAGAGAGTCTGTGAGTTAATTGCGATGGCGGTGAGCAGAAAAGATATGGATCGGATCAAGGGTCCATGGAGCCCCGAGGAGGACGACTCCCTGCAGAAGCTGGTGCAGAAGCACGGCCCCAGGAACTGGTCGCTGATCAGCAAGTCCATTCCCGGTCGGTCAGGGAAATCGTGCCGGCTGCGGTGGTGTAACCAGCTGTCACCGCAGGTGGAGCACCGGGCTTTCACGCCTGAGGAGGACGACATGATCATCCGGGCCCACGCTCGGTTTGGGAACAAGTGGGCCACCATCGCCCGCCTCCTCAACGGCCGGACCGACAACGCTATCAAGAACCACTGGAACTCCACCCTCAAGCGGAAGTGCTCAGACGGCGGCGGCGTCGACTTGAATGGAGGGTACGATGGTCATTTTCTCCGTGACCACGAGCAGCCGCCGCTGAAGCGGTCGGTTAGTGCTGGGTCGGGCGTGCCCGTTTCAACCGGGCTTTACATGAGCCCGGGTAGCCCGTCCGGGTCGGACGTGAGCGACTCCAGCGCGCAAGTCATGTCTCTGTCCGACTGCCACGTGTACAGGCCCGTGGCAAGAACTGGCGGGGTGTTGCCTCCGGCAGAAACGACTTCGTCTTCCAACAACAACAGCAGTAACAGCGAGAAGAACGATCCTCCGACTTCGCTGTCTCTGTCACTACCCGGGGTCGACCCGGAGGAGGTGTCGAACCAGGTTGCGGCTGCGAGCGAGTCCACCCAGGCTCCGGCTCCAGCTGCGGTCTCGACTACGTCGGTGGCGGTGCAGAATATTCCGGCGGAGTTGCTTGCGGTGATGCAAGGGATGATAAGGAAGGAGGTGAGGAACTACATGGCGGGGTTGGAGCAGAGCGGGGTTTGTTTTCAGCAGGCTGCTGCTGGCAATGAGGGGTTTAGGAATGTTGGGGTGAAGCGAATTGGGTTTAGCAGAATTGAGTGAGCGAGAGAAGTGCGGATTATTCCGGACAAGTTGGCAATTTGGATGATCGAAGGGAGCTCAATGCAAAAGAGTTATGAGCTTTTTGGAGAGAAGAAGTGGTAGGCAGTGCATGCCTGACCATAAAATCGATGGAGGGGGAGGGAAGGACGGAAGCGTTGGTTTTATTTTTATTTTATTTATCTATGTTTTTGTTGAGTAGGGGAAAATAATAATTTTGGTCAGTGTACAGTGCGAGACTGAGAGAGAGGGTTTGAGACTGCAAAATTTGGCCTTGTTCATCGGAAGACATGCACACCTTCCAAGGATTAAAAAAAAAGAAGGGGTAAAAATGGATCCTTGAAATTTCAATCTGAATTTTCGTCCTCCTTATTATCTGGGTTTGTTTTTACTGCACAATCATAATATTATTAAGGATGATGATGGGAGATAAATTACAATTTGAACAAGTGAGGGTTTGATGTTGGAAACCATGATCCTAATCTGAAATTTGACTTGGTAAACAAAGAGTGGAGAATTGAAGCCTGGCTGTTTTTCTTGGAGAACCCACCCATGCAGTCCTGGTGACACAAAGCCTTTGCTTTCTGGTACATTTGTGAAAACTGTAAAGGGCCTTTGAGTAAATATAATTTCATGCTTAAAATAGTACAAAAAAAGGGAGGAAAGTCTTGTTGTTCCTCTTCATAAAAAGAAGAGGTTGGGTGGGGATCTAGGGTTAAGCAATACGTTCCCCTGTTGGGTAAGAAAAATATCTCGACCCAACAAACAAACAAATGCAACCACCTTGAGGTGATCTAATAATTGAGGACGAATTTCAGGTTAGTATTCCACGTGACACGTTTTAGATTTGATTCTTAACGTTGGTGAATCACATGATGGTGGTCAGATGAAGTTAAAATGCCTTTGTGAGTTTTTCCAATCTATAAAAATGAACTGCCATAACGAAGTTGAGATGAGATTGGAAGGTGTAATTCATCTTATGAGATACGACGATAAAGGGTAATCACTGAGGACATATTACGTAAATGGTGCATGCGTTTTTAGCTAACACATGAAATTAAAAACTGTCCTAAATAAATTGGAGAAACCGCCCATGGTAAAATTAGGTGGAAAGTTGAAAAATGGACGGTTGGGAAATACATTCAAACTTGGTTAAAAGAGGTTGCTTGGAGAGCAAGACATGGGAAACATGTCAACAAATACGACTCCTCCCAGTCGCCGCCCAAGTCCTTTACGTAACGAATATAGACTTTGTAAAATTCCACCCACCCACCCCCCAGCCCAAGTTTATTTTTCTGTAAATTAAAGGACAATTTTATTGCTTTCTAGGGTTTAAAATTAAACATACAAACTCCATGATTGGAAGCCTTACAGAAGAAACTGTGGTGCTTCCCACACTGATATCGGACTCGAAATCAAGACTTTTTACAGGTTAAATGATGGACTCTTAACAAAATGATACTTACTTACCAGACCTTTCTCTTGTTATACATAACATGTGCCGTTGCCCTTTGCTGTAGACCAACTTGACCAACGAACTATAAGGGGAAAAAAAGTGTTTTAAGTTACTCAGCTGCAGCTTGGATGGTGTCTGTGCCAGATTGAAGTGGTCCTCAGTGATACAAGTCTGGATTTCAGTTCTTTTACCGAATTCCATAAATCCTGCCTCCAGCACCACGTCGGGTGGTTTAGAGCACGGGCAAACAAGAAGGGTACCACCTTCGTGTAACAGAACCTACATGTCAACCAAACGAGCAATCATGAAACTGGAAGTATTGCTTCCAACAGTGTACTTTAAAAGACATGAAAAAGAAAGTAGCAATAAGGTTTCAGGAATTTAAAAAAACGAAGCAATTCATACCGTTAACCAGGGGAAGAAATCCTAATATGGATGGAAGAGAAGCCAAAATTATACAGGATAAAGCAAGGGCTACACTCTGCTTCACCTGTATATGCATGCAGAAAATAATGTCAGTAACAGAATAACAAACAAACGATGGGATAGATGTTTAGCAGGTACCAAGGAAGTTGTTTGGCGAGACTTGGCAATACAGAATGGTACAGAAGATATATTGTCTCGCAGCAACAATACATCTGCAACAGCTGTGGCAGTTGCACTAGCACGTTGGGCAAGGACAATCCCTACAGTGGCTGCTGCTAGCGCTGGAGTATCGTTTATACCTTCACCGACCATTATCAGATCTCCACCTGTAGTAAATCCCAGAATGTGCTGAGATGAACATATTAGCTTTGAAAAACAGGTGAGGAAAGACTGGCATGCATTCGATAAATTGCCCACCACCAAAGACATGATCAAGTCAACACTTGATATAATGCATTGTACATTACTGAAATTAGAATGGAAAGGCTATGGACACGGGGGAAACAAGAAGAAAAGACATTCTCAGTGAAAATACATAATGCAAATGCATTTTCCTTTTTTGGTACTCATAGCAATAATAGTTAACAAACGTGCAGGAGCATAGACAAATTGTTAAAATATAACACGTTTAGGAATGAATTTAACAAAGTACAATGGTAAAAAAATTCCTCAAACTTTTCGTTATGCTATGACATTCGATAGAAGACCTAAACGAGGGCGTACACACTACTTATTGTTACCGTTAACTAGTCATCAATTGTGCATCTGCTGAACCTCAGATATACTTAAGAGGAGGGAGAAGATCAATTATATTTTGAGATACAAGGACCACTAATCAAATGGCATGTTCTTAGAGTTAAAGATTATAAACTCACCCGTTTCCCTTGAGACATATTTAACATGACTGAGCTTATCCTCAGGCTTCAGACTGCAATAAACTTCATTGATACCAACAGAATTTGCAACTCTCCAAGCCTTGACTCATGGTCACCAGTCAACATCATTACATGGAGCTTTGCTTGATCTTGTAACTCTTCTATGACATCCGAGGACCCAGGTCGAGGCCTATCCTCTAGATGAATCAATGTTACCTGCACAGACTCATCATGATTTAGAAAAGGCTAAACAAAAAACACCCCATAGGAAAATGGGTACTCGTATTGATAAACAAAAATTTCAGGAAGAGCTTGTTAACATACTCTCCCAAATATGTACGTAGGTTGGCAAATTTTGAACACCAGTATGCAAGTACACCTTTTTGCAATAAGCTTAGTTACAGACATTTAAAACAGAATTAAGTTTAGTTAAGCACATTTAGGCTGAAAACTAATCTATTTATATTCACTCTGCAGTTCAGTTATATCTCATACCCTCGTAATTTCAACCAAACCCAATTACTGTACACTTATTCCACATTTCTTTTAACTCCAAACCAAATGAATATACCCTCATAATTTTAACCCCCAAAATTTCAGTCGTCACACCCACTTCAAACCAAAAGTTTCCCTTATTTGCATACACTTAAAATGAAACCTCACCTTTTCATTGACTGAAAGAGCTGCACGAACAAATTTTGTTCCATATGAAGATGCATTCACAGCTTCCTTGATCTTTTCTGATGTATCTTCTGATCTACAAAGTGAGGTAATGAAATCTACTGAACCAAGAGATGTTTTCAACAGTTTACCCCCTTCAGTTCCTAACTATAAAAAGACAGAAATCCATGGAAATCATTATACCTCTTACTGGCCAAAAACACTTAAAAAAAATTTAGGTGAAAGACAATTGATGCCTGTATGATACATTCATTACATTAGTATTGATATGCAATCAGAAAAGAAAATAACCATGCACTTAGAGCACCGCTGGAAACAAGGTATGTAATCGATAGATATCGGAATGATTTGAAAACTAGCTAAAGACATGAAAAAGTGGCAGCAAGTATAGATTACACAACGGAATGGGGTCAATTGGATAAGAAAATGAGCGAAGGACTTCATTATTAAAGTTGGAATTTTTAAAAGAAAAAGGTCTATGCTAGTTGGAAAAAAAAAAATACCTCGATGCCGTTGAGAGTAGCAATTAGACCTCTGCCTGGAAAATACTCAAAACTCTCAACAGAAACAGAAGGAAGGTCTTTCCCTTCACTATGGTTGACCACAGCTCTGAAAGGAAAATAGAAAGACCAATAAGTATTGATAATATCATCTTCAACATGTGTCATCTGTTAATTAGTATATTTGATTCCAACATCTCCCATTACTTGATAGAGGGCATTAAGATTAAAATAAATGTTGTCAGCGAGAAGTAAAATTGTTCATTACCCTTTCTGAGCGGGAAACAAAGTACGTGGGTACATGTTGAATCAGAAAGGATGCATTGCAGATTACAATTGCAAGGGATAGTAAGTTAAACAGACAAATAAATAGGGCTGCTGTCCAAAATCACTACCTTCCAATAGGGTGAGTGGTACCCTTCTCCATTGCAGTGGCAACAGCAAGAGCCTTCTTTTCACAGCTGGGGACACAGCAGGAAGAAAAATCTGATACACCATTTCTCATCCGATGCCCGTAAATTGGTTCAATTGCTTTGAACGCCAACCCCCCGGTTGTCAAGGTTCCAGTTTTATCAAATGCAATAGTGTGACAAGAAGCTAGAGCATCTAGCACATGGCCACCTTTCAGCAGTATCCCCTGTAACAAACATAAAAGGCGGTGTGTCATACCCAAACAGCGCATGCCATATTACTGCACAGAATTTAAGATTATAACATGGAAATGCATGAAAAGCAAACCAGTTCATATTGTAGCATCGATTAAAATGCATACCTTCCTCACACAGGAACTAATTGCAGTAGCATGTGCCAATGGAGCTACAGCCAAAGCACAAGGTGAAGCTGCCACCATGAGGCCCAACGCTCTATAAACTGATCCTCTGCAAGCTATAGGATTAAGCAAATATCAGCTTGATGGACGATGAGCATGCCCTCTATTTTGAATACATATAGTAAAGCGGTATTCAGCTAGTTCTTTCAGAGGCAGGAAAATAAGGTAGTTCTTTAAGATTTTGATATTGCAAACCTGTCTAACATTCATTTTGGCTGACTTAACATAAAAATAATAGTAAAACAATGTATGTAATCTTTTTACATTTCCCTGGTTTATCAGTGGGGATCTGGTAAAGCTAAAATACCACTGCTTTTTGTTCTATTTCTTTTCTATTGAAAAAAAAAATTAATGTAAAAATCATTGGTGGCAAGAGTGCTTCAAGCGCTTAGGGAAGATTACCCGATGTTCCAATAAATGGCCACTTGAATAGGAATGGACCAAGAAGAGCAATAGCAGCTGATAAAACTACAACCACCATGCTGTATTGCTCACCAACTGATCCAGCCACCTCTGAAGCTTTGGTTTATTCAATTGTGCTTCTTCAGTCAATTGCAAAATCCTACTAAGAGTTGATTCTTTCCAAGTTTTTGTTGCCTGCATAAACAATTGCTTTTAGCACCTAATCACAGCTCATTACAACAATCTTACTAGCATGAGAACTCTAGAAACCCACCCATGACAACTTTCAAGATCATCCCGTCAACGACTGTGGCAAGAATTATATTTCCAAGATAAATTGGGAATCTAGTGAATTTGTATGCTAAGTTTAAGGGTTATAAAAATATCTAAAAAGTGGGGGCAAAAAAGACTCATTCACAAACGTGTTTCATGTAACTTTCAGCATAGCTCCTAACGTTTACATTAAGAACATAATATGAAAAGCGAGTTCTTCATGTATCCAATTCTGAAAAAATTGAAAACAAAATATTTGTGAATGTACCTTTCACTGTTATCCTGCCATCCAAGTTCCTTGCACCACCAGGAACCCTGTCTCCAACTTTTGTCTCCAACGGTTTGATCTCTCCAGTCAAGTGCTCGATAGTAAGGTGGCAGTACCTTGGGAAACTTCACAATCTACAGGCACAGACTAATCCAATACCAGCCCCCATTACAATGCTTCCATATTCTAATGGATCATTTAGGTGAGATATAATGATACATCACTGTAGTGAGGACAAAACCTATTGAAGATGCTACCAAATCATTCCACTAGTGATATTATTAAACACGAAGGTTGTAAATTTGTTCCCGTACCTCACCAGCTCCGACCAAAATGTACGACCCCATTTGTAGGTCGTGCACGGGAACCTGCTTGTATGCCAAATCAGACGTATTAGGAAGTTGTCCGTCATTGATATCCAGCACAAGGGCGAAATCCGGATGATTTTCCTTCAAATCTTTGACGTCAATCATAGAACGACTTGTGAAATACTCCTCAGCTGCATTGACAACACACAATGATCAATACACAATAAGTTGCCACCATAAAGTAGCGAAATTTAAATGCTTACCAATATGGGCAAGATTGAACATGGCCAAAAGTAACCCTCCTTCCAATGCATTCCCCATAAACACAGATGCAAATGCTGCTAAAGCCATCAATACGTGAATGTTTACCTTCCCGCCACTTAAATCAGTAGGAGCGTCGAGTGCCGCGGAGACCTGCGATTAAATCCAATTCAAATTCAATCAATTGCAGACCAAATTCTAGGGTTTTAATCAATTAAACAGGAGGATGCAAGTTCTTTAGTTCTTACCCCCACCAGAGGGAATGCAACGAGTATGAAAGCATTCTGCATAGGCTTCACGGCCAGCTTGGGCATCATATAAGGCAAACGGCGGCGGCGAGAAGCAGAGCAGCGGAACAGAAGCACAATTGCATGTGCTCCCTGAGGAAATCGGCGAGGTCGGTCCATCGCACGGCCTTGGCGAATCGGACGAACTGTTTCTGAGTTCCGGTGAGCTCCCCATAGTCGTGGTGGTGATGGTGGTCGTGGCGATGGTCGTGGTTATGGGGTGGTGGTGATCGTGATCGTGATCATGATCGCATTCCTGGCGGTGCATCGGAGAGCGGTGGAATTGCGGAGAGGAGGAGCAGGAGGAGGAGGGAGGGCATTGAAGCGGAAGAGAGAAGGGCGGAGGAGGGGGTGGTAGAAGATGGGTTTTGGGGAGGGCGAGTTGAGTCGAGTTGTGGTGGGGAGATGACTCAGTAGAAGGGAGTGGTGGTGGTGGTTGCTAATGAATCTGATTGGGATTGGACGAGGGAGCAGGGATTCCATTGGGATGTTAGAGAGAGTGTGTGTGTGTGTTCAAGACATGGTCGTCGGTGAGAGTCTGAGAAGTGGAAGTTGTGTTTCCCTCGGTGTTTTATTTGTTGCGAGAGTTTGGAGATGGGAGTTTGGAGTGGTGAATCTGTTAAACGTTAACTGGGTGATGACATTGTGTCTCCACACTCCACAGCATGTGCTCATTTCGAACGCTGCAAGTCGCAAATGGGATATGGCGCCGTTGATTTCTTGCTGGAAAATTCAAACTATTCACACCGACTCCACTCGTTCGTTCTGCCATCACAATTAACTTCACACTATCAAATTTTAACTTTTGTTTCGTAATAGGTTATGACATTTTTTACCTTTTCACATCGCATCATTAAATTAATTTGCACTTTTTATTTGATTGATCGTTTGGTCAATTATTAATTCTAAATATCACATGACAGCACAATACGTAATTCACTTTCCAAACTTACTAATCATATTGCAAAGAACATATTAAGACCATTTACGTGAGCAGATTAGACAATCAACTTAATTGAAGATGTAAATAGATATGCTATGCGAGAAAATTGGTGCCTCGTGTCTCATTTTAAATCTGACTTCTAATCTAGGTGGTATCAAGTATACTTTAGGTCATCTTGTTAGCATAATTTTTTGGTTAATTACAAATTTGTCGTTTGCATGTTTGGGCTTTTTTTTTTCTTTTTCACTTTGGTCATGCAAATTTATCTTGTTTCAAGTTGATCCCTAAACTTATGAAAATGTGTTTAATGAGGATATACAGAGATGTTTACAAAAATTGACGAAATGACATGAAAATTGACGAAACACCATGTGAAAATTGACGTTTACAAATTTATCTTGTTTCAAGTTGGTCCCTAAACGACATGAGGATATACATAACCGTTTTACATTTTTAGAAGTGCATTCAAAAGAACAATTTGTATGATGGGGTAATGGTGATGACCCATTTTCACCATGAACTAATGTCTCTTATCCTAGTGTAACGCGTCTAGACCAATAGACGTAACTTCTTTATTATATCTAGCGGGTAAAAAAAACATGAATGGATAAGCAGGTTTCATTTTTAAGACTTCACAAAACCACACTTTCGCATGGCTTTATTTTTCCCTTTCAACCAATTCTGAACAAAGATATATAGAGTACGACACAACTTCTGAAAATTATAAACAGAATCTTATAGTGTTGATCAAAACCTCAAAAGTCTGCTGAAGGTTTTGGTGATTTGAAGTTGTAAATTTGAATGTTCATGATGGGTATTTTGTCCAATGAAAACTTCTTTGGCAAGAAATCAAACCCAAGAAAAACTTAATTATATTTGACAATCTTGGGCTCCACAAGAGAACTTTCCAGATATAGCTGGTCACATTAAAGGAACAAATTTGGCCATCCAATATGGGCAGCAGCTTGGAAAATCAAGTGTCTGGTTGCTAATTATTTCGTTGTTAGTGTAATTTTTACCATTTTGTTGGAAATAGTGGAGAAATACAAGAGAAAAAAGAATGATGAGTAAAGGTGGAAGATGAGTGGTGGGAAAGAGGTACAAGGAATGAAAGAGTACATATGTAATGTTAACTAAAAATTGATAAGTTTCGAGTAATTTTTCAGAATTTTCAAGTTTTTGTTTTGTAAATTGTTCTTCATTTTTCCGTCCTTCCTCCCTCTACCCTTCTTTGTTCATTAGTCCCTCCATATGCATTTTTCTATATCTATCAAGAAAAGATTGAAACTAAAAGCAAAATTGTTATCAAATAGACAGTAACTATGAGATGCTAAAAAACACCAACTTTCTAAATTTCTAATTCCATGCATGACGTGTGTGATGAGGCAACATAACCCACTCGAGCACAACACAAAGAAAAGACTTTTGTCCTAATAATATATTTACTTATATTTAATTGTTTTATTTCAGCAGCCACAGCTTTGGACTTTATTTTTTGTAACCTTTTGTGACTGAATGCAGATCGCCTTCAATTCTTTATACAGTCGTGTTTGAATTCATTAAAAAACTGATTAAGGCAAACGCCATGGTCATATGGAGGTTTGACATGATCAGTATAAAACCCCAAAGAGCAATACTCCACCTTCACCATTAATTCTGTTACTTTTATTACTAATTATTTGTTCATTGGTAACCAGACCAATTGATCCATAAGAAATGGAGGGAAGAAAGGCGTTTGGTTGGGCTGCCAGAGACACTTCTGGAATTCTTTCACCCTTTTCATTCAACCTCAGGTCTCTCTCTCTCTCTCTCTCTCTCTCTCTCATCTGTTATAAACAGTTGGGTTACTCTCTATGGCCTCGCTTGGTATAAGTAACTCTCTAAATACATGCTCTTTTTAATTCTCCTATTTCAGAGATGATTGAAATTCTTGAGTAATCCATCTCGTACCGTATAATCCAATCCTCTATACCAAGCACGGCCAATATTGCCAACTGATTTTTACAGTGAAACCTCGACTACCTTCGTAATGTACTGTATTGTAAACTAAATGTCCTCATGAACAGAGAAACAGGTGCAGAAGATGTAATGTTGAAGGTTTTGTACTGTGGAGTAGACCACACAGATCTTCATCAGATGAGGAATGAGATTCACTCTACTAATTACCCTTTGGTTCCTGGGTAAGTGAGACCATATACATTTTGACAATATTCTTCATGCATGCAGGCATGCGTGTAGCATTTTATCAAATAATTAACCTTTATGTTTATAGATATTATGCTTTTGACAGTTTTACTGTCTAACCCTTCTTTGTACTTGCTTTGGTTTAAATTTTGGAGGCATGAAATAGTGGGAGAAGTGGTGGAGTTGGGTTCAGAGGTAAAGAAATTTAGGGTTGGGGACTTGGTGGGAGTTGGATGCATAGTTGGGTCCTGTGGAGAATGCTCGCCTTGCCAATCCAACATGGAGCAATACTGCCCCAATATAATCCCCACTATTAATGGCACCAACAAAGATGGAAGTTTCAATAGGGGAGGCTTCTCCTCTGCCATGGTTGTTCATCAAAGGTAATCAACAACTATTTAATTAGTTACGAATTAACCAATTTAGTTCAGTTTAGTTCAGTTCAGATCAGACCAGCAGTCTAGTCCGGTTCACCAGTTTTTCGGTTTGAACGTCCACTCATAGCAAAACACATGAACTCTATAATCTATCTTTGTAGCCTTCCATTTTGAGTTACCCTGCCTTATAATTAAGAGTAAAATGCAGGTTTGTGGTTCGGATACCCGAAAACCTAGCACCAGATCAGGCAGCTCCGTTGTTGTGTGCTGGGGTGACAGCCTATAGTCCATTGAAGCAGTTCATGGGGTCTAACAGGGTTCTCAGGGCAGGGATATTGGGTTTAGGAGGAGTTGGGCATCTGGGTGTGATAATTGCCAAGGCAATGGGCCACCATGTGACTGTCATAAGCTCTTCTGATAAGAAGAGGCAGGAGGCTTTGGACATTTTAGGTGCAGATGCTTTTCTGGTGAGCTCCAATGCTGCTGAGATGGAGGGAGCTGCCAACAGCCTTGACTATATTCTCGACACGGTGCCCGCTTTTCATCCTCTGGGATCTTACCTTTCACTGCTCACGGTTGATGGAAAGCTCATCGTAGTTGCTGCTGTGCCTAAACCCCTGCAGTTTGATGCAGTCGACTTAATTCTAGGTACCATCCTCTGCTCCCATCTCTGTTCAATTTCAATCTTTTGATATTAGAGCCATATTGTAAGATATAATTTGTGTTGCCGTACAGGGAAGAAGGCGATTGCCGGGAGCTTCATCGGAAGCATGGACGAAACTCAAGAGATATTGGAGTTTTGGGCAGAGAAAGGTTTGAAGTCTTTCACAGAGGTGGTGAAGATGGATTATGTTAACAAGGCATTTGAGAGAATGGAAAGAAATGATGTGAGGTTTAGGTTTGTCCTGGATGTAGCCGGAAGCAACCTGGATGATCAAGACGGTTCAAAAATAAACACGACAGCGGACATAAATCATTGTGATATTATTCTTTAGCCTGAAATCGCTTAAATTTGATCGAAATTTTCATAGTTCAACAAATGTATTGCTAATTGCTCTATTTGACACCAAAATGGTAGACCTGAAGTTCAAGAGAAATATTATAACAGATCCCTAATCGATGCGCACATTAAGAATACAAAACAGAACTTTGATCAGAGCTTTTACAAATGCACATAACAAACACAACTATTACTTCCAAGGTTACAAGAACGACTACAGTATTCCAGCAAGCAATTATCTCTGTAATCTTGTCGGTGAAACAATTTTCCTGACAGAGTACGCTAAAGAAAACTAAATAGAAGTCGAGGAGAAAAGAAAAAGAATGAATTAATGCTAATGTTACAACAACAATTGGATGTTCCATGTTTCTGGATTGTCTAGACGGAAGCATCGATAACATGCCACGGTCATTAATCTCTACAGTCTCTACCATCCGTCCAACGGTGGCAGGTATGTGGGAGGAGAAGTTAGAGCAGTTCATGTGGCAATTCAGTCATGTTTTCCCTTACCTTTCCCTTCAACGCTTTTTGAGCCATCATAAGCAGAAAGGAAGAACGTACTCTGATTTTTCTGCATAAACCTGCATGACAATGAAAAAATTACTCGGTGTAAAAAGTGTACAAGGATATAATTGCAGTGAGCTGTAACGAATTTGAAGAACATCATCAAAATAAAAGTACATGAAATAAATCATTATACTTGGAAGATAAAACTAGAGTCCCCATCAACTTTTTCAGGTTTTCTCATTACATCATCTCAACTCATCTTTTCCTCTGATTTAAAATGATTACACAACCGAAATGTTATCCTAATGAAAGCCGGATTCCTCCCTTATCAATGTTTGAGATACCTGATTGTGCCTGAAATGACTTGCGAATATCCACGCACAACTCTTTTTTTTTCAGTTCGAAACTTTGAAAGAATAGTGAGAAAGTAGCAAAATGGGACAACGGTGATGGTGCTTAAATTTTCATCTTTTCTTACTGAAGCTAAAATAGAGAAACAGAAATATGTCCAACAGGGTAATATATATGATGTATAAGGTTTGAGAGGATACTTGAGGAAATCGAGTAATTTCTGCTGCAAGCGGCTTTGTGTTTCCTCCTCGATGTTAACATATGCCAATAGCTCCGGCAACTTAACTGCAAACACCAGAAATATGTCACTATTGCACAAAAACTTTAAATTATAATAACTTTCATGACAAAACATATCTTACTTTCAAATGTTACAAATCATCTGTTGTTATATGGTCGTTAGATCAGAAAATAACTTTTATACAAACCACAAATTCAAAATGCAAAAGGAAAACATTAGAAATTCAAAATCAACAGCTTAGATTGGTCTATGAAATTTTCTCCACAAAGTTGTTACCAGTGTCAAGGTCTAAGGTATGAATGAGATATTCATTAATTTACTACACAATGCCTCAACGGAGGATGTGTGAGACAGAGATTCAGATAGAATAATATTAGTAGTGTCCTTAAGCATTGCAGGAAAACAATTCCATTGGAAAAGAAAATTCACATTAACAGTGTAGAACAAAGTTTTAAAATTAATGTCCTTTCTGGAGAGAAGTTGTACTGGATTTTCAAAGATAGACTGTACATGCACAGATCAGGAAACTTTTTTTCCACTCAAACCCCAACCCTTTCCAAATCCCAGTTTCTCCTTTACCACAAAAGCAAGGCCCAATGGACCTATATTGTGTAATATGGATATCTAGGATTTCTCTAAGCTGTAAATGTTTAGATTGAATGCAAGAGACATCAAAGCACACATTCATCGGAATCAACTAGCAGCAGCAGTTGCCATCACACATAGAATACAACCAGACCCTATAAACAATCATAGCATACAAATTTCAAAGATTCGACACTTATGGGTGATCATACCAAAGAGTCGCAGTAAATGTTCAGCGCCATATATTGTTGACGGGGAGACATCACCTACAACTGTTTCAACATACTGTTTGCGTTCCTTTTTGTATAAGAGCATCACTGGCAAAGCTCTGTCAAAGTAACATCGTATTCCTTTCAGGATTTCACCAACTGGATCAGTCACCCTGTATTCGAAAAACATAGACCATGCAATAATCATCAGGTGTATTGAAACTCCCAACTAGATCTTTATACACAGAAACGGCAAGATTAGATTAGAGTACCAAAATATTTAAATGAGACATACTCATATAGATTTAACTCATTGCACATTATATGTTATTGACACTAATTGATCCATGTGGCAACATATTTGTATATCAAAGTTTCAGCCAGATCTAATTAACCGGGACCAACTGGTGGATGACATGAACAGGAAAGATAACAAACAAAAGCTAGTAGAAGGATAAAAAAAATAATTTATATGCAATCATAACAAGACTTGGGTAAACTTACTTTCCATCCTTCTTTGTTCTGTAGTCAAGGTATTTCTGCAAAATGTCATCCACAGTTGGAGAACGTGGAAGCATTACAAGCTGCAGGGGGAATTTTTTTTTCAGAACCAAAAATTACTTTGAAACACTTAAAAAGAGTCATTGAAAGGTGGGATAAATTTCCATCTAGAGATGCAATGTGAAGAACCAAAAATATTCTTGATAGACATTTAACTTCAAAACCATCATGGTACATATTTGTCAAATGAAATGACAGTCAAAAGAAGTTTTTCTTTTAACACTTATGCGTACCTTATCCTGCTGCGAAACAAATTCCCAGTCATCAACAAGCTGTTTCCTTAGTGTTGACGGAATTTGAATCTTGACAAGCTTTTCCAGTGCAGCAGTATCCTTCTACCAATTAAAGGAACCCACAATCAGCCCAATATCAAAGAAATGTTAACAAGAAAACTTAACTAAGACCTGATGCGAATATTAAACAGTTCCAGAAGGCAGCATTAATCGTCTGGGAAAACATACATGCTGCATTGCATTGACAAAGAAAAATTGAATATAATAAACGATGAAAATCAGCCATATTAGCAGAGCAATATCAACATTTAGCAGGGAAAACTTCCATCCCTTCATTTCTTATTTTCATCTTCTTTTCAATTGGAAAAGATCAATGGACCACCACTACACTACATGCACCTTAAAGCACAAGAACATAAACACTGCAAAATTTTTTTTTTATATACATAGAGGCCTATCACATAAAAAAAAATGAAAGTGAGGAGTATAGCAAGTGAGAACAAAGCATCTGACTGTTATCCAGGAAATGGAAAAAAATTTGTAGTGTATTTAATACATGCCAAACCTCAGTGCCTGAGTCATTCTTCCGCTTCTTCCCTTTCGTTACTGCAATAAATTTCAATATCAACTCACTAAAAAAATCCTTTGTTTTTTTTTTATTTTTTGCTTTGTAAATCATATATTTTTCATGAAAAAATCGAAGTTGAAGAAAAATAAATCAGAAAGTAAATTGTACCATTGTTCTTGTGGTCCTCTTTCTCTGCTTTTACATCTACAAAATGCAATACACGAAAACTGGTATCAATGAAAAATACAACAAAAATAAAAAGTATTCATAACAAATATCACATTGCCAAACAAACTTTCAAGTGTTTGGGTCTATTTGTGAAGAGAGAGAGATCTTTCACTCTCTCTTTCAGAATTAAACTTTTTAAGTGAAAACCTTCAAGATGAAAAGTTTGAATATCATCAATTTTCAACGACACCATTCAGTTTAAGTGTTCTCTGGTGCTTAGACTATTGTCAAGCACATCAATCACAGTGATAGGACCATACTAGTAAAGACAAAACAACCATTAATCCTAAAACTACTACAGAGGATTAGTAATGCAGCTTTGCCAAATCAACAAACACAGTACAACTGGATACATACTAAATGCAAATGAAAATGAAAGATTACAATGGTTAAGAAAGTGAAAATGCTTCCGTTATTTTGAGAGAAAGTGAGAGTTTCCCTCAAACAATCCATTAGTTAATTCCCTCTTGCCAAACATATGTTTTCCCGGGAAAATAAGTTTATAATAATATGAATACAGGTGTTACCATGCACATATGACAAACAAGGAGGTATAAAGGATAAAAGGCAAATCACATTCTGTCATTGGAGCCTTTAGGCACCAAAACAAAAGTAAATAGGAGCGCAGCTAACCAGTAGAAATTTTTGGCTTTGTCTGAGCTGAGCGTCCTGATTTTGTATTCTTGTCCACGCCCTGTTTCTTGTCAAGAGCTTGCTGCTTCAATATATTATCTTCAGTATGTTTCAACAAGCGATCTCCACCTACCCATTCGTCCCAACTGTTGGCAAGATGTCCAAGCCACAGTAATGATTTCTGTATCCCTTTTTGAAAAGGGCAATTATTAACGAAAGAACATTTCTAGTAAAGATTGTACAGCTCTATGGTAGTTTTTTAGACAACATATATAGCTCAGAAAGCTATAGAGAGTATTTAATCTTTATAATAAGAGAATACAAGCCTTGTTATGAATTGTCATAAAGGTGCAAGCAAGGAGTATGTTGCACCCCATGAAATGGAGAATGACGCAGGAATGGTTATATAGCTCAGAAAGCTAGACAACACAGCAGTTTTCAGAGGATACTAGAAAAGATGTTTCATACGAAATTTCAAGTCAGAAACGAGATACTAGAATCTATGTACGACAACAAAATACCTTTACTAGTTGAACTAGTTCCAACCTTCTAATTCTATTTGTATTTCCGTGATCTGTAAATTTCGCCATACTATGGAAGTTAGAACTTCAAATTTGTTAGGAATCCGCCTTCCTAAAAGGGGAGGTATGGGAAGCAATATAGAGGAATGTTTGAAAATATTAAATATAAGGGTTTTAGACTCTTGAAAGAAACTAGATCCAAAGATTCCAAACTACACCAAATTCCACATAGCCGCAATCCAAATTGTAGATTTCTGAAGTTTTGCATTCTTTACCTCATTAACCTTAAGTCTAAAATCGGAAAATGTAATGTGGTTGACAGAAGTAGAACAGAAGTTACAGAAACACACTCACTTTTTATTCCAACCCTGCAAAACAAAAAATCGTGCACCGGTTAGTATAATGTCCAGAAACTAGTTTGGTTACCCACATCTTGTCACCACAATATGCATTCTTGTTCAAAAAGGATAATGCGGGGAGATATTATTCAACTTACCAGGTAGTGAACAAAGTATCTCCATTCATTTTTCCTCAGCTCCGCTTTTTGAACCTAAAAAATGAAAGCTCAAAGTTGTTTAGATTATGACTACAGCAACATTGCATATTTGAATTATGTTAATTTTGTCTAATAGAGGGTACAAAGATATGTAAAAACATATTTTAATAATATCCTTCAAGCAAAAAAGTAAATATTAATTACAAATGCATCAGCTAGATTAGAATTCCCAATTAAAATTGAACTAACTAATCAAATAAAAAACTGCCCAGAAAAATAAATAGCCTTGTAAACCTTTCTCTCTTTCTTTTTACTTGTGTGGTAAAAAATAAACGCCTAAAAGAATCCAATTGCGAATAAACACTAAAGATTACAAACCCAAAACCCTAAAATCCAAATTCCAACGAAGCTTAACAAAATTCAAGAACTAGAAGAAAAGCACCAGAATTTGGAAAGTTAGGGCAAAAAGATAAAGAAATTGATGATGGGGAAAGAGAAAAGGAGGGTGGTTTGGCTTGCCTTGGCTTCGTAGATACGAGGGCCGTGGTAGGCGAGGATCTTCTCGCCCTCGGAGTAGAGGCTGGAATTGGAGGGAGGAGCGTCGCCGCTGGAGGTGTCTCCGTCGGTGACGGAGTCGTCTCTCGATGAATTTCCCATTTTTGGCAGAGCAGCGGTGGCCGGAAGGCTTCAGTTCAGCGCCTTCTCTCAGTTGAGAAGTTGAGAGGAGCGTTCACACTGTTGAGCTGAGAGTGACCGGTTGCAGCGGGTGTTCAAATTAAAGCGCAAGATGCGATCCGATTTGTCAGTAAATCCCCAAATATTTTTATTTTCCATTTGTCGTTGGATTTCGGTTAAAAATGGGCTGTACTTGGGCCCAGAGAGGCTCATGGGATTTTTTTTTTTTTTTTTTAAACAAACGATATTATTTACATTAAAGGATAGGATAGCGGACTAAATTTCACAATAGGTTAGTAATAATAGGGTTCAAATTAGCATTTGGCGAGAATCGAACCAAAGACCTCTCACTTACAAATGAAGAGGAATAACATTAGACTGTTGTACTAAGTAGCATGGGCTACGGTGTTATATGACTTGTACAGGAGCGAGTTCACTGCTATAGTGGTGTCCTATGCTAATGAAATATAAATATTCATAAGTTTTGTTCATATTTTCTTGTTTCATTTGAACGAGACGTCACATGGTAATGTACTCGTGCCATGTAAACTACTTTCCATATAATGATATAAAATCAGCAATAGAGAAACTTTTCTCCTACAAAATGTTGACAGTAACTCACATTGTAGTTGGGGAGGTCTTGCATAAAGTGCTTAAAAGACCTTATGTCACTCCACTTAGTGCCAATTAGTATCGAGTCTGTTGCTTATATTTTAAAATGATATCAAAACATGCCACTTAACGGTCAGGCTTGCCACGTGACGATCAAGCATGCTACTACGTCACCTTACAAAACTGGAACAAGTTAAGGTCAAATACGTTTTGATCGGACGCTCACATTCTCATACAAATGAAGCTCAATTAATAGTTTGTTTCATTGGCTTGTCAGTAGAAACTGATCCAAATCCAATATCATATTTTAATGAAAGAAAATGGAACGCAACATTTCTTTGCATGTGGGCAATTTCTGACCGTTGATGCATGTGAGTTCTGCATTTCGTCAACGGTCTTGCGTGTGCAACCGACCTTGGCAAAATGAACATTGTATTCTGATGCATCTATCAGCAACATTTAGCAAGCTAGTTTGAAGCTTCAGAGCTACGGACCAGCAACATGTGTCAAAAAGTTTGCGAAATAAACTCGGTCTTAAAAACTATTCGACACTAAAAGATGAGTTAATAAAATCATTCAGCAAAATTACTAGTTCAAATACAATCTACAGTATGTCAATAATATACAATTCATTTCTTATTTGACGATTCATCAAGGAGTTGCTTAACAAATTCCGCTTTCTCTTCATCATCTAAGGTAAGGAATATATCAGCATTGGATGAATTAGCCACAAGTAGTCTTAATGCTTTAACTCGACCGGGAACAGAAAGCCCTAGTCTTTTAATCTCACAATGTAGCTCATCTATTTTGTTACCTTTGGATTCAACTGAGACTCGCATCGGCTCATTTGAAGTTTTTATTGTTTCCACGACTGATGCTGGAACTTTTTCCAATGCAACAGCTACACCATTGTGTTCGCATCTATTTCTTTGCAGCAAGGAATCAGATTGATCTGTCTGTCTGTTTGTTGAGATTTGGTCAACCGACCTTGAAAAAGTGTCTTCCTCACTTCCAGAGTCGGTTGATTCCTCTTCACAGTTCATCTCCTCATTGCGATTCATACGTCCAAAACAGTTAATCTCCTCGACTCTTTCAACTAAGGCTTGGGATGGTTTTACAGTTGCACGGCCTTCTCCAAATATATTAACAAGTCTATCATAAAGTGGAAAATATTTGCCCCTCCACCCATCAGCCTCCCTGTGATGCTGCAGGTTCAGTAAACAATTAATATAACCATATTACAAATGTCAGATTACAAGGCATATGTTATACGATATTAGGCAGGCTTATTAGCTTATGATGGAATAAAATCATACCTGAACATAGGCCTTCCATGTTTCTTCACTGTCAACCTCCACACATTTCTTCAAATCATTCCACCCAAACCCATTTTGGTTGAGCATGTCATCTATTATACAGTGTTGCTTCTTCAATATTTTCATTTTTGACTCAACGTGTGGGCTAGCTTTAAGTCCCGATGCTGGAAATAAACTGCACAAACCCTTTTCTATCAGAGTCAATGTACCAGCTTTGAAAGTACGATTTTCTCGATGACCTTTTGCAACTAGATCCTCTAGAATGCTTAAAAGTGCCTCCTCCTCCTCTTTGGTCCATACACGTCGGCTGCCTTTTTTCTTTTTTTCAACTATTTGACTACTATCTGCAGTATCATCTTGCCTTCTCCTCTTTCCTTTGGACGAATGAGATTGATCCGTTTGCTTTGTAGTTGAGATTTGGTCAGGTGACCTTGGACGAGTGTCTTCTTCCATCCCAAGGGAATTGTCCTCACCACAGTTCACCTCTTCAATTATTTCAGCAGGAGTTTGGGATGTTTTCTCATTTACGTAGTCCACTATAAATATTTTAACAAGCCTATCATAAATAGGAAAATGTTTGCCCTTCCACCCATATGCCTCCTTGTGATGCTACAAGATCAATCAACGAGCGTTGTTAAGTATAGTTCAGTTGTAAGATCATAGGCAAACCATATGTTATGAGTTGACACCTCATTTAACAACAAGAAGTCATACTAGCCTATGATAGAGTTGTTCATATTATCATACCTGAAGATATGCTTTCCATGTCTCTTCACTGTCTACCCTCACACATTTCTTCACCTTATTCCAGCCAAACCCGGTGTTGTTGACCATGTCATATACTAAACGGAATTGCTTTTTCAACTTTCTAATTTTTGACTCAATGTGTGGGTTAGCTTTCAATGCCGATCTTGGACACAAATTGCGCAATGCATTTTCTATTATAGTCATTGTACCAGGTATGAAAGCACGGTTAACACGATGACCGTTTGCAACCAGATCCTCTAGGATGCCTAAAAGTGCATCCTCCTCTTCATTGGTCCATACACGTCTACTCGCTCTTTTATTTTTCTCATTGATTTGACTGCTACTTCCGGCATCCATTCCTAAAAGTCCCTGGCGACATTCAAAAAGTTAATAGTAACAATCATTAATAATTACAATACAAGAATGTACCCTTTCATGTTCATTTAGAATTTGACTGCTACATTCTTGTTTTCTTGGTCTCACTGGTAAAATGCTAGTACAAATTGAGAAACAAAAAGGCAGAGCCAATGAAGTCATATGTGCGTTTTAAAATTCCTGTTTTGATGACATAGAATCATAACCCATATTTCTTCTTTACCGAGTCTTTTTAATTTGTAGAATGTATTCATGATGTTCAGGTAGAGGTTCCATATAATGATAAAGTGATATTGACTTGCACTGAGGAAAGAAGAATAACATATTATATCTACTAAGAAAACAACATAAATATGGCAAAATATCATAACATAAAGTACTCCTGTTGAGAGTGAATTATTTGGATTAGCTAATCCCTACAATGCTGAAACACTTAAATGAATTATTGAAAGGTTGGGGGCCCTTCAATCAAGAGATGCAAGTGACGAACCAAAAAGAATCTTGAAAGACATTTAACCACTCATTCTGTATAACTGTCAAATGACACAACGGAGAAAAGTTGCTTCTAACAGTTCATGTGTACCTTATCCTGCTGAGAAACAAAATCCGGATTATCAATAACTTGCCTCCTAACAATTGAGGGAACCTTATTCTTGACAATCCTTTCCAAGGAGACAGTGTCCTAACAATTGTAGACCCTGAATTAGCCCCCATGAAAGAAATTCGAACAAGAGAAAACTTATAATAAGACCTTGGAAGAATATAAAACAGTTCTACAACAAGCAAGAAACATCAGAATTTCACAATACTCTTGCTTATCGTAAGAGAGGAAAATATCGATATTTCACAATGAAAACAGCACTTCTTATCTTTCATTTTTCATTTTGAAAAAGCTCAAGGACCACCACTGTATGCATCCTTATAGCATCGTAAAAATAAAAAATAAAAACCAGCTAAAAAGAAAATCGTTATGCCCTCCTTCTTTATAAAAACATAAGAGATGCATTGAACTTGTAGGAGTGCAAGAAGGACTATTGGAGTGACAATACCAGCTCCCAAGATTTTTGAGTGTATAAACCTATCAGAAGCATAACAAAGACAAATATAAAGAAACTAAGGAGTAACAGAGATATGGCAAGTAACAACAATGCATTATATAGATATCCAGAAAATGGAAAATAGGAAGCATGCAATGCAGTAGATTTAATCCTAATGCATGCCAGACCTCAGTGCCTGAGTTATTCTTTCGCTTCCTCTCTTTTCCCACTGCAATAAACTTGATATTAATTTACAAAGGAAAACCATTTTTTTACAAGCAAACATTTTAAGGAAATAATACAAAGAAGTTTCGGTTACAAAATAATCCAAATTTAAAGAAAAGGGAAGCATAAAGAGAGTAATAGGGGCCAAAGCTAACCAGCTGAACTTTTTGGATTCATTTGTGTCAATTGCCCTGACTTTGTATTATCATCCACGCATGGTTGCTTGGCAAGAGTTTGCTGCCTTATTATATTCTCTTCATTTTGTTTCAAAAGGCGATCCACACCTACCCATTCGTCCCAACTGCTGGAAAGATATCCAACCCATTGTAATCATTTCTGTATACCCTTTTGAAAAGGGAAAAAACAGTTCAAATGAAGATTACACAAGTCCATGTCTTTCCTTGAATCTCAGTAGACAGCATCCATGACACGAATTATTTCAAGGATAACTTGCCAACTTAAGGAGGGCCTTCAGTCTTTAAAATAATAGAACGCAAGCCTAGCTCTAACATGTTAAGCGATGCTTGCATGATTGTATAAGAAACAAGAGAACAAAATTCTTATTTATTTCATTGTTCTCTTTCTACATTCATTAGATGCCATCAGGTCTAAAGTCTACACCATATGAGTAGTTCTCTTCTATCCATAACACCATCATCCTGGTAAAGAAATCCTAGAGTTTATGTGCAAAAACAAAAAGACTTGAACAACAAAACCAGCTGAAACCTTTTATTTCTGGAGAAGCTTTTATTACCTTTAAGTGTAATGACTTAGCTTTGGTACCGTGCACATGATTGTTATCTATATCAAAGGAGAGTTTTGGGAAGCAAGAAGAAGGAATGTTTAAAATATGTTTTAAATTACACAAGATTTCACTCCAAAACCTATCATAACATTCATTAGTGTGTGCGTTTTTGTATGTATGTGTGTGTGAGAGAGTGAGAGAAAGAGAGCTGATTTCTGCACTCTTTACCTCAAGAACTTTGAATTCAAAAATGAAAACAATACAATAAGACTGGCAGAATCACACGTACACTTTATTCCAACCCTGCAAACCAACAAATTGAAACACTCAATATCATAATCCGAAACTATGCTGCTTGCTTACAAATTGTCACATAACGCGCATTAAATTCAAGACCGAGCAAAGGGAGAGGCATTATTCGACTTACAAGGTAGTGAACGAAGTAAGTCCATTTGTTATTTCTGAGCTCAAGCTTTTGAACCTAAACATGTGAAAGATTAAAGCTGTTCAGATCATAACTACAGCAGCACAAAATAGTAAATTCAGCAATTTCGGACGAAACCAAATTTAACTAAACCCTGACTATACTGGCTAGCTGAGCACTAGTTCTAGAGAAAGCTAGTAAATTATAATTACATTGCACTAATTAAACTGGATTAACTATTTATCTCAAGAGTAATTACTAATTAGATTAATATTTCAAATTTCCAGCACAAGGTTTAAAGAATTTGTAGGTGAAAATTTCATAAATACAATCAGCGTTGAAAAAAGCTCAATAAAATTCCATCATGAAATTGCAGAAATAAATAAAAAAATAACATGAATTTGAAAAATAGGGCAGTTGTCAGCTAGATTACAGAAGATGGGGATTGGGGGAATACAAGGAGAGATGGCTTGCCTTGGCGTCGTAGATGCGCTTGCCGTGGTAGGCAAGGACCTTCTCGCCCTCGGAATAGATGCTGGAATTTAGTGGCGGAGTGTCGCCGCAAGAGCCGTCGCCAGTTGTGGCGTAGTCATCCGTCGACGAGTTTCCCATTTTTGTAGACCCAGCTGTCAACCGCGGGAGAATAAAAAGCCCGATCCGACTTGTCACTCTAATGTAATATTCCCTCACCTTTTGTGGGGCGTTTTGTAATTTTACTAAGCAACAATTAGAAGAGTGATTTAGTAGTACGGTCGAATGATATTCCTCTTCATTTATAAGTGAGAGATTTAGGTTCAATTCTTACCAAAAACGAATTTAAAATACATTATTACTAACTTATTCTCTCATCTTCACCCTGTAATGTAAACAATATCGTTTGTTAAAAAAAAAAAAAATCAAAATAAGCAGAAATCTGAGTAATGACTTGTAAATATCTAAATTGGGAAACTAGTAAATTGAATTCGATCGTACTGATTTGAACCAACTAGTTTGGTTTGGTTGTAAATATATGTCTGACCGGTTGGATTTGGTTTGATCCACAATTCTCAACTAATTAAATAGGAAAACCTCATTAGCTTTTTTAAAATGTCATCAGAAATTCATCTTTTAAAACAATAAGGAGAAAAATTTGTAAAGGAAGAGTGTAAGATGACTTTTGCACATGCTTCATTCTTAATAGGTGGTTCTAAGTAATGTTAAGGAGATTAAATTTGTATTCAAAATTTTTAAATTAAATAACATAGAACTTAATGATTAGATTATTACTTAAGCATTAATAAACGTACTTATTTTCTATTTAGTTTGCAAATGTAATCTTTGTAATGTTACCCAAAGATAATTGATCGTGTAAAATGCTCAAATGTGTGTTGAAAGATTTTGTTGCGAAATATTCTTTGGTTTGTTTTTCTTATTTTTGTGACAATTTGACTTTTATACTCTCGATTCCTATGAGGATGAAAGAAAATATGAAATGCGCATGAGAGCAACCTAAATCTGAGTTGATTCAATTTTGTGATGTTATTTTTTTGCTTTTAGTGGGCTTAGTATTTCCAGCAATTACAATGTCTTCTCTATCTTTTTATGTTCAAAAAGCAAGATTTTTTAGATACAACAAGGACAAATCTTGAAATACAATAACTTTCAGTTATTTCGTTGTATCTTCCTCTCGAAATTATATGAAATTGAATTTACCTAGTGAAATTTGAACACAACGAATTACTTACCTAATAAAAAATTCGATCTTCAACGATTTTTGTCACTGATCTTCTCTAAAATCCCAAACAACCGGTTGACCTCTTTAAAAAATTTCTCTCACTTTCTCTAGCATTGACCAACGTATCAAGAAAAAAACAAAAATCAACAAAAGAACCTCAATTTTGTAAGAGTGACGAATTTGCAATTAATTGGGTTCAATTTCTCGAAAAAAAGAGAGGAGTACCATACGTTAACTAAACTGAAGGGGAGTCATGAGTTCAATTCAATTGCTTTTATTTAATTGGAAATTTGCAGAAGGTGAAAATTTGCAGAAGGTGAAGGGTTGTTTTAAGTTTGAATCCCATATTCACGGTTCTTAGCCCTCATCCCGCAGAACTCTTCTGTTACGATGTTTTATCTCTTTATCACGGGGCTTTTCATTTTTATTATCTTTTCTTCATATTTTTTACTGATTTGGTTAATGTTTTCATTTTTTACAAAATTACCCTTGGGGTGATGAATCAGTTTTTCACGTTAGTTGTAGGGTTCTGACTTTGTGAAGCCTAAAAACTTTAATAGCTTATTAGCTATTGGGCTTGTGCGCCGCGCAAGGTAAGTAGTTTTTAGGGTCAACAACTTTAATACTTTTGTTTTAATTTTTACTATTAGAAAGTCAGAACCCTACTTAGCCTACGTGGCGCACATGCCCAATAGCTAATAAGCTAACTATGTCATTCGATCGAATGTGGGCTAATAAGCTAACTACGTCATTCGATCGCGTGTGCCAACTCGTCGGCCGAGCTCGACCAAGGAGTAAAATGAGTGATGATGTGGCTTTGGGCGCGCTGCTGATTTCTTGATCTTGCGACTGTGGTTGAGGAAGGAATACTTCTCGGCCTTTGGGTTCTAGAGCCTGAAGATAAGGCTGCTAGTTCTGCGAAGTTCAATAAGTATTCGGTTTTCAGTGTGCCAAATGTCATAACCTGGTAACACCTCACTTTGCCGAGAAGCTGATGAGATGACTTCTTCCAACAAGGATTCAGAAGTTTCTCAGTCGGCTGATTTTACGGCTCCAGTGTTGTTTATCCAAACTAAAGATGTTGCCAGTTGCCACCACGGTGTTGTTTACCCAAAGTGAAGATGTGTTGGCGGAAAAAGGAAAATAAAAATCTCAAGGTCTTTGAGAGGTTTTGCGTAGAACGAGAGCACAGGGCAATTGTATGTTGATTTGGAGGGCTTTGAGTGATGCACTCCCCTCTCTATTTATAGTAGCAATTTCCTCAATGGCCGAGGTAGATTTTGACTCGGACTATAATTCTTTAACCTAATTCGAATGGATCTTGGCCAATCATGACTTTTGTAGGACTCTAAACCAAGCTCCTTAATCACTCAGATTCAACACTTGATTCTCGGCTTCTTTTTTTATTCAAAGCATTCCTAGCTTCTGACAATTTCTTATTGCACTAGGACTAGACCGCTTCACCCTTATCCGGATGGAACCATATCCTAATGAGACTCGACCAAAATCCACTGGGCCAGGCCCATGATAGGAACATTCATGACACCTTATACTGGACCGAGAACAATCATGGGCTCAGCCCAAAACGCCATTCTGGGTCCAAACAAAAGCATAAAAAAAAACTAAAAAAACTTGTTCAAAGTACAAACAACCAAAATATAAGTGCAAAAATCATCACCCTTATATTAAGTTATGGGAATTGTTATTGGCACTCCAAAATTCTCATTCTACACTCCAAACTTTCTATATTTAGAAAGAAAAATACACTTATGAGAAGTGTAAAATGAGATTTTTGGAGTGTCAATAACACTTCCCTAAGTTATAATATTGAAACTTAGAGTTCCTTTACATGATAAAGAAAATTTGAGACAAATAAATGAAATGAATATAAATGATCTTATCTTCAAGACTCACCAGCTTTGCTCATGACATAAGGGCCTATAATATATTGTTTTGAACATAACGATGCAAGGATTAAGACACATTAGCTTTCGTTTACTAGTCCAAAACAACAGTTTAAGTTTTAGGGATACTTTTGGAACTTTGTTAATTGTTTGTTTTATTTTCTATCTGGACGTTAAGTTCTATTAGGGTTTGGTTTCATGTTGTGAACGTATGTATACACCTTCTTAGTGTAAGGATCGTTATCTTTTGCTTATTTTCAATCCAATGTGAGTTTACTATCTTTCTTCCAAGTGAATTCTAGGGTTAGTTGTTTTCTAGTGAAAGATTATCATTCGATTCTCTTTATTACATTCTGCTGCATGACTTCGTTATTATATAATTCAGTCATTAAAAAGAAAGTATAAAGGCATAAAGAAAACATGAATAAAATAACAAACAACTAAATATAAGTTCGAAATCATTACCTGGTTTATATTAAATTATAATATTTGACAATGGTGTAAGCATAGAGCTTCTTAACATGATAACGAAACTTTGGGACAGATAAATGAAATGAAAATAATATGAATGATCTTATCTTCAAGATACACATGGCGTATATATGCATCAACCAAAAGATATGAATGCGATAATAAGTAAAGAATATTTCTAGTTTCTATTTTTGTGATCACGCATGCATGTTTATTGATGAATGTTGTCTGTAAATTTGTTTCCTTGACCAGGACTTGGACCCGAGTCCTTAATCCCTCCGAGAGTCTCAACATTCGTGAATTTGTTTCCCGTACCAGGGCTTGGACCGGAGCCCTTAATTCCTCCGAGAATCGCAACATTTATAAATTTGTTTCCAGTACTAGGACTTGGGCCAGAATTCTTAATCCCACCTAGAGTCTCAACATTTGTAAACTCGTTTCCTGTACCAGGACTTGGACCTGAGTTTTTAATCCCTCCGAGAGTTTGTTGGTTCGTAAACTTGTGCCCCTCGCCCGGGCTAGGGCCCGATTCCTTGATGGCTCCAAGTGCTAACCCATCAAAGAAAACTTCAACTGCTCCAAAACAAGAGCTTCTGTACTTCATGATATTCAAGGGCCGGGCACTTACTGCAATGAATGTAGAGTTGAGCAAAACAAACAGCAAAACGAAACTGAAGAACTTGGTAGTCATGTTGGTAAGAGAGAGAGAGAAAGAGAGAGGCTCTGCAACTGTTGGTATATTGTGATATGCGTCGTGGAGTATTGGGTGTTTCCTATTTATAACAACAAAAACGTTTGCTGCTTGGCAAGCACGTTAGACTATGAGATGATGAGCTTTGACTAAGAATCTTGACATGAAAAAATTATTTAAATAAATTACAAACAAAAGCGACATTTCCCATCCTCATAGTCATGTGTTGGAATTACGAAGCAACAAGGATGTTTCGTAATCCATGTAAAATGGAGAAAAACGGGTTTTTATAAAATAAAGTATTGTGAGTCCAAGTTGGACTTAGATGTGGAAAAATGATAATATATGATGGAATTAGTTAACGGTTTTGAGTTATGAACAATTTTTTGTGTACACGGAACACTGTCACGTAATATTGTTATCCTACGAATATTCATATCAATAAAAGAACACGTATTTTTATTTGAATAAAGCAATAAAATGATTTAAACGTGCTCTGAGTTCACTAAAAAATTATATTGATCGCATTCTGAATCAACCAAAAAATTACGCGAATCTTATTTGGGTCCGGCCGGCCGCCCCAAGCCATCAGAAGTTCTTGCAGCTCGGGGACGAAAGAGAAAGAGTCAAAGACCATGCATTGTTTGAATTCTATTTTTTTTAAATGCATGCATTGTTTGAATTCCATGGCTGCAGTGTAACGTGACTTAAATGATTTATTGGGTAGGGAAAAAAATGATTTATAGGGATTTTCATGACCAGTCAATTTCACTAGTTGTAGTATATCAATTGGCACCATGGTATACTAGCTGCATTTTAAATTTAATTTTATCAAAATAAGCATCATGGTAGATGCGTGATAAGATACGTATGTACAT